GACACATTCGCACGCTGTAACTCTTATATTTATTTCCACCAAAGTAGATTAACTCAAATTTTGGTTTTTTACTTCTTAAATTTTTTATTTTTTCAAGTTTGAAAAAATTAGAAGTCACTTAAATCAAAGTATTTAAATTAAAGTTAATATATGAAATAATTAAATGAATGGAAGTGAGTGTAAACTGCGAAGGTAATTATTTTTTAATTTTAATCTCGAGAGTTTTATTCTGTCATAAATACCGTTGAGAACAACGATCAAGCTAGATCTCCTATCATCATATTTTTATTTAATCTATAGAGACGAATATTAATGACAATTATGTTATCGTTGTAACATCGTTGCACATATATAATATACGATAAGAAAGTTGCGTAATGACATTATAACAATAACAAAACTATTAAAAAAGTTATTTTACACATTACTCAACTATTAAATTAAGGCATCACCCGTTACACTCTGCAAAAATAGACAAACTTCGGGATAGAATATCATAGTCAAAGGTCATCGTACCGAGATGTTTAAAAAAGCATTTTGAAGTATGAAATCAGTACCTTTCAGAAGTTATTCAAAAAACGGTCTTGTGTAGATATTTCTTAAAATTGCACAAACAAAAATGCATCAAAGCTTAAAATTTTATACGTAATTTGCTCGGCGCGAATTAAAAATAGTGCACAAATGCGGTTTACAGCTTTCAAAAGACTGAATCTTTTTCTATAATTTGTGTTTTTCCTTTGTACGATTTTTTTTCATCGAGTTATTCAACGTCGAAATAAAAATGACCTCTTTTACTTCAAATGCATTTTGTTTTTTTGTTTGCGATGATTTTTCATCAAGTTTTGAATCGTGCAATTTTGAACGTGTTCGAAAGTGTTCTCTATCTTCTGTTGTGTACTAAATTTTTTATTTATCACAACGGTTCTTTATCTTCAAACAACGTTTCAAATAAAAAAAGTAATAAATTAAACACAATCATTATAATTATTTATATTGAAAGAAACATATATTTTCATTTATATATTACACATATCATTGCATTTTAATTATACATGTAAAAGAAACACATGTAAATAAAATAAGTATAAAAAAATATTTAACGAACTAGATTCTTTTATTCTAATAAATTCTTTATTCCTATTATATTATATATGCTTAATAATAGTACTATGTACTATTCTTCTAAAAATGCTTTCATATGCATTTTTTGTATTATATAATTGACTAATTTCTAGTAACAAAGAAAAAAGATGATAACTTTTTCCTCGTTAACCTCATAAACAAACAAAGTGTAACATTTATTATGATAATAAATACATTGTTCCTTAATATTACTCAATTTAATTATTCATATTACTTATAAACCAATCACGATTCTCTTCCAACAATTTCTTCCAATAATCTGTAAAAGAAATTGTTTAAATTACATATCTTGAATGAAATGCTTACACTAATTTAATGTCTAAACGAGTATTTCGTATAAGTCCATATTAAAATTCCATAAATTCTTAACTTTTGCGATTGTTATCTCATCAATTTCTTGCTTTAACTGTGAAAAATTCCTTTTTCTTTTGATAATATTATATTATATTTGTTTGATAAGAAACTTCTCGTATTATTCATTAAAGATGTCACATTTATTTAATTTAAATTAGTCATAGGTACCTGTTAATTCCTGAATTGTACCATCACTGCCACCATACTCGACTGGCAAGATGTTAGTTGGAATATCTGTAAAACAACTTTGCAGCATGTGTGGATAGACATGAAATCTCCTCTTCATTTTCTCTGACATAAAAGATTTAAAAATCTTTATAGTAATATCTATAAACATTGGTGCATTGATTACGCTTATCAATTGCAACCTTATAGGATAACAGTTTTGCCATGTATGTACTATTTTCTTTAGTATGGAGGGTCCAAATTGAAATATATGATGTATAGTTGGATTGAACGTGTCACCGATCAACGTTAAACCGTACACAGATGCTGATGTAGCCATGGCGCGATTTTTCATCGCCAGTTCTATCGCCATTAGACCGATCTGAAATGATTATTCGTCAAGAAATGGTGAACAATTAAAAATATGTTTTTATGACGTCAAACGCATTGCTTGTATAATAAATTATTTGCAATATTAATGCTATTTTAATTTATACCTTCATAATATCTGATAATTTGTGTATTCTCGGATTTTGTAAAGTCATGCGCCCAATGACAACCAATCTGCCTTGACTATCCGGTTTTCGCAATGGCAAAATCAACCTGTACATATATAAATTATTTATTTCAAAAATTCTTTGAAAAAATTAGTGTTACTGTTATACAAAGAAAAAATTTCTTTTAATTTAATACATTTTATTGTATACAAATGAATTTGTTACTTAAAATGGTCCAAACAAATCAATATTTAATTTAATAAATATAACTGTTTGAATATTTGAAACAATATATACTTTAAACCTTTAAATTTGTATTTTGTCTGAAGTACATTTATTAGTTTGAAGAGACAATATCTATTTTCGATATTCGCGCAACCAACTGCACGACAAAAACGCGATTGATATAACACATAACCAACTAAAACTGAAAAAAATATGCCGAACGGTCGACCTGAATCTCGGGTGCTTCTACATAATTGCCTGTAAATTTATATACTACACATACGTGAAGTTTTAATATTAAAAATTTAATTGTGTGTGAATTTATATATATATATATATATATATATATATACTACGTATATAGTTTTTTAACATTAAGATTCAAATTATATAGAAGCATCCGAGAGTATCTAGCTTAATCGTTGCGGCATGTTCTCATCGGTTTTTACAGGTTTAAAATTTTAAATTCTCACGGTACAGATTAGATATTGCGACTAAAAATGCAATGGGTGTTCTAAGAAAGCAAAGTTTGCATGGAATAATATCAATCGATATAATTTCCCATTTTCAAATAAATAAATTATTTTATTTTTCGTATTCATTTAATCAAATATTATATTACTTTATTAAAATATATTACTTTATTAAAATATATTACTTCAAATCTCATAACATTTATTTTTGACAAACAATACATGTTTTTCGAATAAAACAACAAAATTTTTATTGAAACAAATAATGTTTTGTACAAGCATATGTTGTTTTAATGAAACAAATTTTAGTATAACAAGAATACTGAATTCAAAGAAAACCTTTTTTCTGTGTATAGTTCCATGACATCGCGCGATGTGTGTAATTATGCAAGGAAGATTTTATTTGTTAGTAAAATATTTATTAAAATATTTTTATTCCTATTAAATCATAATAGAAAAAGATATAGTGAAACCCATGCCATCAATCACTCATTGTGATCAAATTTAAATTGTTAATAAAACATGTAATGTAATTTATTATTTATTATAATAAACATACATGTATATTAACATATGATTGCAATCTTCATCAACGATGTTAAACATAATGCTGTAACCGCATTATTAAAAAAAAGTCAATGATAATGATTACAGTGCAAAAATTTTTTAAATTTTACAATAAATTGTTATTCTAAATTAGATAATCTAATGCGATATTTCACCGATAATTATTTCTTTAAATTGTGTATTTGTATACTTTGAAAATAAAAATATGGTAATCTTTACCCCATATTAATTAACTCCTGTAATTCTGGTTGAAACGGATCTCTATTTGAGAACCATTCCGGTAAGTCAGATTGCAGCTTATAAAAGTTTTGTATTCTGGTTCTAGTTTTTCCGAGATTGAATTTGCAGACTCGCAAGAATCGCAAGATGAGGAAATCATCTGTATAGAAATGAAGAGTTCGCTTTATATAAAAAGATATTAACTAATACTAACTTTTTCATTTGGTATTAGAAATTATAATAGATAGTAATTTGATATACGTCAATAAAGTCGATTGAAAGTTGTTTGATTCATAAAATGACAAAATGCGATTATCTTGTTATTTTCCATCGTTTTTTCATTACGCAATCAAGGCGAATAAATTTTACGCGATAAGGATCAGAAAAAGTTTCCTATACTCACAAAAATATAGTAAGAAAGGCAAAATTTCAAATCAACAATATTTCACAGCGCAAATAAATAATTAAATATAACAAAAGTAAAAATTTAAAATCTTTTTTTTTATCATGTATTATATATAATGAATATTGTCGGTACTTTGCTTAACAAACCGAATTATAAAATATAATTGTTACTTAAAACATTTTTGTATTGTGAAATTTATTTCCTCTGTTAGGACAAACAATGGGTGCCTTCCAACAAACGACACAGATGACACGATGTGATACAATGTACTATCATATCTTATGTGGTATATGTACATTATTTCAGTTAAAAAGAATTTTTTCTAAAACTTGCCACCTTGCATTATAAATCGTAGATGTCTTAGTACGATACAACGTGCCTTCTTTCTCACATTTCGCTGCATACGAGACAAAATTTTTATACTATCTAATTAAATATTTAATTTTAATTGCAAGAGAGAGTTTGTCAAACACTAAGATCCATTCACTCAAATCCTTTTACCAGTTTAGTTTATTCAATTTCTCTCTATCTATAATGAGCTTATCTCCTTAAGTATTTCATAATTCTTGTATTATGTTTGTAATCTTCCAGCGGATGCATGTATAGAAAATACCAAAGTATAAGACTGAAAATTTTAAACATTAAAGCGTAATATCGTAAAAAAACGTTATGCGATAAAAGTTTATGATATTTAAATTATTGCTCATTTATTTAAAGATGTAAGTGTTATGTTATATTATAAAGTAGAATAGTAAAAAAACGTTTATTCGTTTCATTTATAATCAAACCATCATAATTAACTAGATTTTATCTGTATTCGCTTAATAAAATCGGTGTGCCCACAGTTAACATCATGTCGAGGCCGATTAAAGATTCGAAAGTATAATAATAAATCATAATTGAATTTCTTTCATTGAGTGACATCCATATAAGTTTGCGTTATTTTACCAATTCGTATGTCGTCAAGCATTTCGTCGTCAAGCCATCGTCTGACCTCCGCAATGGCAGTCTCTCTAGTCTCATCGGTTTCGTTCAAATTTATCGCTGCATATTCTTTATCGTCGCTAGTCAGCTCATACTGAACGTGATGCTCTATGCTATTTTTATAATTGTCTTTATTCACCATTGTGATGACAATAAGCAAGAAGCTTCCGGAAGGATATGGCGTGTCTTCGCGAACCGCTAAGATAGGATTTACTATTACGTATCAAGATATAGTCAACGTTAAACGCAGTAACAATTATCTAACACTGTAAGCATCACGGTACGATATGTACTGTTTGGAATGTACGTGCTGTTCAAGTTCTCTAATCAGATAATTGCGCCATCTGCATCAATGACGTAATATAATAAAGATATAATGTATATAGATATACATTAAAAAAGAAATCAGTACTTTCAATAATTGCTGAATTAATCCGTTCTTCTTTTTCTCCATGTGAAAAAAAAAAGAAACTGTTTTTCGATACAAGAAATTGGAAAAAGCAGCAGGCATATTCGCTATAACTCTTACCTCTTACGTTTATTTCCACTAAAGTAGATTAATTCTAATTTCGGTCTTTTACTCTTTATGTTTTTTATTTTTTAGAATAATAGAGAATTAAAAAGTAAGTTAAATCAAAATTAAAGTTAATATAATAAATAATTTAATGAATAGGTAAGTGAAAGTAAAAACTGCCCAATTAATTATTTTTTAGTTTTAATTTTGAAAGTCCTATTGTCATAATTTTATTTAATCTGTATAAACGAATATTAATGACAATTTTGTTATTGTTATAACATTGTTGCACAAACATAATATACGGTAAGAAATTGCATATTGACATTATAACAATAACAATATATTATAAGAGTTATGTTATATTACAGATCAAGTTATGTATATATTACAGAATAAATCTGCTGATCTTTGATTTTTTATGAATAAACTAAAATATATATATAGTTGGTTATATAATTCTTTATATAATTTTGCAAAACAAAATTTGTGTGGATTATTTAAGAGATGCAATGTTTATAAAATTTTAGGAAAAAACTGTTTTCTAAGTTCATCATTTTTAAATTATGTATATAATTTGTTACATAATATAATTTCTTTAATTATTCTGTAATCATTCTACATTTAAGGTATTAAAGTTGAGATATTAAAAAATCAATAGTTTTTAAATTATTTTATACTTTATTTTGGCATGCATATAGGTATTGATATGAAATATTATATCTGACAAGAGTAATCGTACTTATTAATATCTATATAACGCATAAAAAAAAGAAGCCTAATCTGTTAAAACTAGTAGCATCTTG